CGCATCATACTCCTCACCCTCCTCGTCGCTGCTCCTGTCTCTTATACACATCTAGATGTGTATAAGAGACAGCTCTATCTGTGTACCGCGCGCGCGCGCGTTTTTTCCCTCCCTCTCCCTGTGGCTGACACAATCTAAACCCTTCCGCTGGCTCACCCCCTCCCTTCCTCTCTTCTGCCTCCCCCTCCATCCCTCCACTTCCCTCTCTTACAAACCCATTCTCTCATTGAAACCGACCTCCCATTACACTCTTAAGTTCCATTTTCTGCCTATTCACGACCGCCTGGAAACTGCATAATCTCATTGAATTTTTAACGTAACAATTTTTTTATTGCAACAGTTCCATTTCGAGACATGTCCATCCATACACATCCGCCTTTCGGCATAATCGAGAAAAATCAATCAACCGGTTGGCCTGTTTGCACACTGAGAGAGGAAGAAGGAGATCAAAGACATGTCCTATAGCTCTCACCGGCGCACGATTTCATAGTGTGGATTTTCAGCAGCAGCAGACAAATGCTCGCCAGATGGGTCATGTCCCCCGCAAGCCTGAACGGATTCATTTTGCCCTCCTCCCTGTTTGTCGACTCCTTGGGCGTGAGCGTCAGCCAACTGTGTCCAACAGCGATCCGTCACCGCCCCTCTCACTCAGCCAATCAGCCAACCGGTTACTCTACCACTCAAGCAATCGGTCCATCCATCAATCAACGAGCCCAATTACTCCAAGCGATTCATTAACAACGCGAACCCCACTCCCTCCAGACACATGGATCGATCAATCAATCCTCCTGTTGATCTATCCTCGGCGCAATACCGGGCCCGGCGGATCGCCGCTGTAACGAACAGTCGCAACCACCCGGTCCAGCCAATCCCCAAGTCAATCACTCCTTCAACTCCAACGCATCACATCATTCTTCCCCTTCGCCACTTGATTATTACTCGCTCGAGTCTGCCTTTCATTCGCCGGGGAGGGAGGAGAGAGTAACCAAACACGGGGCCTGCTCGGTGGTCAACTGCAAACAGTCTTACGTATTTTGCAAAAGGAATCCTCGCCCGCTCAAGTCGACGGTACAGAGATGATGTGTTTCCCTCCACCTCCGCTCTCAGCACCACGCGGTCCACCTAACCCCGCCCAATTTCATTCTCCGTTCGCCCTTCCTTCTCGTCCTACACTCCGTTCGCCTTTCCTTCTCCTCCTACCCTCTCTCCTACGTGCAAGCCTCGCCGTCAGTCCCACTCATTCCCTTCCGCCGTGGACGCTACCGCTTTCCTCCTTCAGATGGCACCCACGACGCAGAGGGAACGGCCCGCCAACATAGATCTCGTTTGGGCCCCCACCTCGGATGTGAACTGAAGCATAGCAACGGCGTGACAGACCGAAAAAAGCTACGAGGAGTGAAAGTGAAAGGGCGGAGACCAACTTGGATGTGAGGGGATAGGGACTGGCCGCAGCGGTGCTACCTCTGTGCTATGCTACGAAAAACCTGACAGTTCACAACGCACCTGTTTGACGAAGGGGTCATGCTCGCGCGGAACCCCAAGCCTCTTTTTCCCGACGGCCGATTTTGCCTGTCCTGGACTACCAAACCCTCCACAGGTCGGGGCCTACCGTCGCCGGTCGTTTCTGTCCGGGTCGGACATGTGCTTCCCGGCGCTGAAAAGTGCCCAATGGTCACCATCTGGGCACGGGTGTAACCAATACGGTGCCGCCGCGTGCACTCCAAAATTTGGGAAAAAGGTTGGCGAGAGGCGACCAGAGTTGCCGGGCGGTTAGCGTAGCGCTCCGGCTCCACTGTCGCTGCGGTGAAACTTCACCGCGGCGACCCCGAAGCGGAGGGGAGGGTGCGCCGCCCACGGCGCCGGTAGCTGTGCTCGGGACCGTGCGCTGCCCGCTGAGTTCAGTCCCTTCGAACCGGCCGGCTGTCAAGCCGTTGTCGCGCCACCTCGGTGTGAGTTACCGCGGTGAAAGTGGCAAACCATGGCCTTGGCCATCGCGGCATGGCTGTGTCAAGCCTGCCCAGTTTCACCACGACGAAATACACCCCCTGGCGGAGGCCATGGCGGCATGACTGTGTCAAGGCAATGGGTGTATCATCTTCTGTTTAATCTCCTCCGTGATACCCGAGGTCCGGGTCACTGACAATGGAGCAAGCCGAGTGAGGTAGCAGCTCGAGCTCCAGGGACCAGACGAATCGGCATCGTGCATACTCAAGCTTCTATGGTAATTTCTCTCCATGTTGTATTATTGCTTATGAACCTAGCTGATGTCATTAGTCACGTCGCTGATTCTACCGCCGATGGCTAGTTGATAATGTTCTGCAGTAGGAGCAGATAGCCTGTTGCAACAATGTTCTGCAGTAGAAGGAACAGATAGCATGGGGTTTCGCTCCACAACTGTCCACTGTACAAAAATGGACAGTTCGACTTCGCTCCACTTACTGTCCACTGTCCATGTGCGAAATCCCTCGGACAATTGTCAAAAATCGCGTGGAACGTCGACTGTCCATTTTTGTACAGCTCCCAGCCTGCACAAGTCGTTTCCTGGACGGTCCTCCTAGGAATCCACGGACCCTCCGCCGTTTCGAACAGTGAGCCTGGAGTCTGGGCGGACAAGTGTGCAAGTTTTGGAGTTTTGCACTATCCTGCCATTCCAACATTTGTACAGTGTTTCGTGGCACTGGTACTCCGGGACACTGCTCGGATGTCTGCCCAGCTTTGCAGACACACTACTTGGTATACCGCGAGCCTTGCGATGACGAAATTGAACGGCCATTCCGATTTGGCAGAGGCCAGATCACTTTCAGGATTCCCGCCAAAAAAATTGGGACCCGCATGTCCCACGACGCTTCTGGCTTGGACAGCGGCGTCATCGCTCCACTACTGTCCACTGTACGTGCGGGTTTTCGAGAAGATCTGCGCAGTTGTACAGTGGATAGTAAGTGGAGCGATGTCGCATTTTCCACTGTCCGCTGTACAATATTTCGCTCTGACAATTGTCCACCAACTGTCTGAAAAATCGTACAGTGGACAGTAGTGGAGCGAGACCCATGTTGTAACTTTCGAAACCCTACTGAGATAGTTCAGGAACAGTGCGATTCAGGTAGGCATCAGTGATTGTAAAATGCAATTTGATAGCTTTATGCTCTCTGTGACTAATGTTTTTTCCTCGCATATAGTATCTACAGTGGCAACTCTACGGTGTAGTAATTTTGAATTTTACCACAGCTATTTTTTCCTCATAACGAAAAACCTTGATTCCTCTCATTAAGATATCTTACAACTGTCGAGGTTGGATCTCCCTCCGCCTAACTCATGTGGCAAGGGGGAAGTCGACGCGGACAGTGAAAACAAACGAATAATTATTCCGCTCTACTGAAACATAGCCCCACAAGGAATCAGCCTAAACATGGCGTCCCGAGAAGAGGCGAAAATTTTGATGGTTGAACGAGGAGAGGACTCGTTATAGAGCGAGCAAAATAGGCTCTTTGAGGAAAGAGTTTGTATCTTGTGTTTCCTGTGCTATGATGAGGGGCACAGCCCCGAGAAAATCCCATTCAAAAATGTTATTATAGAAGGCAACGAGGTTGTGGTCACAACAGACGAACGCTTCGACAAAATTAAAATCCAGTGGTTAAAAGAATGAACGGTAGTCGTCATCTTTCGGAACGAAGCCATAAATCTGCCTAGAAAGGTAAAAGAAGACATCGTCCGATCATATGAAAATGGATTGTGAAGGGAGAGAATCTTCGACCCACCAGTGGGAAAAGGAATAATTAAATTCGAAGGACTGAATGTTATGTCATACGTGGCGAAGGACAATACAGTGGTAGAATGGATGGTAAATGAGGGTTCTGGAGAACTGAGGCTAAAAGAGCGACGATATGTGTTTGAGACAAAGGCGTGGATGCATAGGGCTGAATGGAAAGAGTTTAGAAGAATGAAACTCAAAAATATTTTTTGGGTAGTAGCGGTACAGGTGTCCATGGATGCCTACTTCTACCTTCGATCTTCCATACCTCGTATTATCAGTCCGGTGTTGAAGATGGACGAACCGAATAAACTCAACTCCAACCCTAAATTTTTGAATATTCGCTGCGGAATAGATCCAACATATCGATCAAAGTTTAAAGGTCGGGTATGGGTCCGAACCAAACTTGGAGATGTGGTGGAGGTAAAGCTACCCTCTGCATCCACACCTTTTTACACACGTTGTAAATGATATTTTCATTCATATTATGACTGCACCCGCTCTAAAAGCAACTATACCTGGCAACGCAACAAGTTCAAAAGGAAGAGATCCTCACACAATGATGATGATGAAAACGACAGATCGTCAATTCACGCTCGGACCATGGTCCCCGATCAAACATCCGCCGTGGAGCCTCAAAGTACAAGGGACTGCTCTCTCACCACAGATCGCAGGGATCGGACATTTGATCCAGAAGCTCCTCGGCAAGACCCCCCCCCTCTTCCCCCTCGCCTCCAGGCGATCCAAAGGGAGGAAGCAACGTAAGGAAGCAACGTGAGGAAGGAAATGATGAACCCGATGTTCTCCCCCGATCCTAGATACGAAGCCAATCTGTATGTCGTCTACAAGAGGATGAGAATGAACCTTCAACGCTGGATGCCAAGGGAATTCATCCCACCCGTGCAGAATCTAGCGCCAACCATGGCTTACATAATGCGAGTAGCAGTACCATGGGGACAAGAACCACTCTCTCTAGGCACGGAACACCCCGGGCCTGTTAGACCAATTTACCCCACTCTGATGATGGCTAGGCCTTCAATGAGAACCACCAGTGAATCGCCGACCGACCCGACCACTCACCCCTCAGTTGTAACTTGAAGGGTCACTGCATTTGTAGTGGATGCAGATGGACGTAGCACATGTGGTCACTCCCCACTCAAGGCACCTAGGATAATTAGATCAGAAGCCCCTCCAGCTCAACCCCTGTTGTTTGAAGCAGCCCCCAGCGCAGGTCTCCCAAACATTCCAAGGACTCGGTGTCAAGCAAGGCTAAATCCGCCAGGTCAATGAGATCCCAAATAGAACTACCGCAAATAAGTGTCAAAACATTAAAAAGTTGGAAGGCAATTACAACCTCAAGGAACCAATCCACATCGATGGAAAAATGGCTCATGCCCTTAGTATGCTCGCTGATCAATGAAGCAATTCATGTCATTGTGTGACAGCTAGACAATATGACGATCAACTTTTTTGCCACAAAAAACAGAGGAACATGTCACACCACAGAGCATCCTCTCGGCAGTCAAATGGATCTTTGGAGATCACTGCCCGCTGAGATTGGTTTCAGACATTGCCCTGTTGCGCTTTTATCAAGAAACCGATGAACTACATTTGCAAGGTGTTCGTTCTTCTCATCGAAGGAATGAGGATGGTACCATTGTCCATATTTATCGAAGAGGATGTAGACTCCTTGCAATACATCCGGTTAACGTTTCGAATGTTACATTCCTGAGCAAGCTCAACGGTAAATTGCCACATAATAAACTGTTGTAGTATTTTTTACTTGAAGAATTTGTTAGCCCAGAAATGAGCGTCCTCTTCTGCTACCTCATCCAAGGCAGGGGCTACACCCCCTCTCGCATATGCCTCTCGATCCCGACACTCGCTTCCTATCCAATCAAGGGTCCGGGGTGCTAAGCTGAATGGATAAACTTAATGTAGCCTCTTGGAATGTCGGAGGGCTTTGTGATGTGTTTATAAGAGGCAAAAGAGCACAACTGAAGTCTTGGCTGCATCGCTCGAAGGTGCAGATCGCTTGTCTACAAAAAACCAAGCTCGATGAGAATAAATTACAAGAACTAGGCAACTCTAGTTCCCAACCAGAGGAGGGGTTGGGACGACTCTCAGCTCTGGTCCCCAACCATGAGAACCAGAGGAGGGGTTGGGATTCTCATACACAGAGATCTTTCAGTCCAAATCCTGGACTTCACAACAGACCTGTGGGCCAAGTGGGTCTGGGTTAGGTTCTCAGCTTACGGGTCCGGCTGGGTAATTATGACAGTGTACGGCTATATAGGCAGGGCGAAATGCAACAGATTCTTTAAAGTTTTAATAGCATACACCCCAGACGTCCACAACCTCTTGATAGCAGGAGATAAGAATAACTCCTTGGATGATTGACAGGTTCGACAAAATGTTCGCCTGACACTCACGCTCTGGTGGAATTCATGACAAACCTGAGTCTGTGCGATGCGTTCAGATTGATCCATCTCCCAGACTCACGCTTTACTTGGGGTTCCATAGCCACCAAAGATAACAACTCAGGATGTCTCAAGAGATTAGACTATGCCTTACTTAGTTCT